TTTAGTTCAGTTATTTTGAACACACTTTGACAGCTAAACGACGCGGTAAGATGGCGTTACTCTAGTAATGACGTGTGGGTTATATAGAATTCAGCTTCAATGAAGGTTCAATTATTGTGAATTGTTACGGTAAAACACCACAAAGAGTATCACATTACAATATATGGTAAATAATTATAATTTTAGTTCAAATTAGTACATGCTATGAAAATGTTGTTGCAGTTAATACAATATATAATAAATAATTATAAATTTTGTACAAATTAGTATATGATATGCAAATGTTATTACAGTCAATATAGTAAGAGCATTCATGAACCTTTATTAATATATATAAGCAACAGAAATTTATTTAAATTTCGATAAATGAGCAATTTTTTCAAATGTTCATCACATCACATATAAATAAAAAGTAATCGGAAAGAAATAAAAAAAACATTTATTGAAGAAATTGACTTAGGTTATTTATTAAACTAATTCAGTAATTACGTCTTCCATTTTTTGTAAATAGTACAAAAATAAATATTTCTTACCATTAATATAAGAAATGTGAGAGACGTTTAAAGCCTGATTTCTTAAAATCATTGCAGACGGTTAGTTTGTATGATCATGCATTTTGAATGTATCAGTTAAATATATTTGTGAGCATTTACACAGATTGTACTTAAAATGCTTGAAAAAATATTAAAATATTTGGATTTTTATTTTATGTTAGGCCTGTTCCACGAGCTACTCGTAGTAACTTTGAGTAATACTGTGTATACACAATTCAGTTCCACCATTTTCGAGTAAATGAGAGCATCTGAGAAAGCGTAACATCCCTGTCGAAATTTGAAAATGCTACACAGACTTTACTCATATATTTCACTTGAAGTAAAATTTGTTTTGATGTTTGAATCAGCTATTGTAGTTTGAATTTAAATTTTTGTATTGTTTATTTGCGCGGCACTGGTGTTCTCATTAGATTTTACACAAAGCTGTTCCATGGAAATCTGTGTAATAAGCGTAATTTGGCACTTTATTTGTATTACGTTCTCAGTTTGTACTTTACTTGTGTTTTACAGATCCATTATTTTAATAAATTGAATTTTTCGCTGATCTTATAGCTGTTTCGAGTATTGTCAAATACCCAGCATCAGAGCTCTTGAAAATAATTCTTGTATTTAATTATTCGTAAATAATTTTTTTATTAAATTTCAAGATCCTGGAATCATGCCCTGCCAAATTTGAAGCTCAGAGTCAGCGCTTCTTAACTAACTGACCAAAAGCCGTACTTGACTTTTTTTGTTCGCAAATGTTTCTGGAGTTTTTTATATATTTAGATTCAAATATTTTAGTATTGATATTTATTTAACATTGATTTATTCATCTACTTATTAATTTAATTATATGTATATATTTAAGTTATAATTTTAAAATGAATTAATTTTTTTTTGCCACTACTATGCTTAATGCAACAATAACTGTTACCATTTCCTTTATGACACGAGTTAAATTCCGTAAATAATTATTTATGTATATATACACATATTGCGGTTTTGCATCACTTTTGTAAAAAAATTTAATTGTTTACTTGCGTGCGATTAGCACGATTAGCGTAGCAATTAGCAGCTGGTTTTGATTTCACCACGAAAGAAATAGAACAAAACAGCTTTCTATCACGAATTATAAAAAATAAAACTTTTTTGGAAGAATTTTGTGCCAAAATAGCACAAATCCCCCGTAGAGTCTTACGGTTGATCTTAAGACTTTCAACGATCTTTGCCAGAATTGCTCTGTAAATACATAATTTTTTGGATCGTATGCAATTGTCACTCATTGTCTATATCGGAAATTTAATAAAGTTCCTACCGTTCCTACAGATATACGGGTAGAAGTAGTTTTAAGCGATCGGTCAAAAACATTAAGCTCCGTTGGCAAGGTGTAGCAGATAATCTTGAAATATTAACGCAGCGAAGTTATTAACGATAAAACTATTTCTTTGAATTTATATTATAAAACATCAAAAACGTTTCGATAGTATCTCAATAAGTCAAATTGTTTTGTTTTACAAATTCTAGATACTCAGAATCTTATTTATTATTAAATTAAATTGTGTTATGTGGATTTTGACATAATTACATGGAAGATTTGTAGACCAAATGTCTTGAGAAAATGCTGTTGTTGTGAGCTGTTGATGTGAGAATCGGAATAGAATAATAGTTAAGGATGTTTTCTGTCAACTGGTGCAATCAGAGAATGGCAACTTATAGCTTTAGCAACTTTTAGAATTCAATTGACGAATACAGACTCTTTTCTGTATGACTACCTTAAAAAGAAGGAAACCACATAAACCAATCATGGTTCTTAATAGACAATATTCGAGCCATATCTGTATTATATCGTGCATATTGTAAGTTATTTCTAAATATGGACACTTAGTCAATAAGTTTCCCTTTAATTTCAGAAGTATTGTTAAAAAAATGATCACATTTGAAGTAAAGAAGAGCTAAGAGTAATTTATCTGCTACCGATGCTCTTCATTTTAGTTGTTTTAATGGACTTGCAAGAATATAGAGCCGTTCTTGTTCTAAAAAGAAAAACTGTGAAATGTCACTGTCAATAGCCACGGAAACAGGGTCAGCATTAACGATATATTATTCAAAATGTGAGTGCATTGTCGAAAGAAATTCACTCTTTAGGGCTCTTTAGAGATCATAGAGTTATTAAAGCAAGTATTTAATGATTATATTGTTTTTAGAATTGGTGCATGGTCTCCTTTGTTGGTAGCATTGGTGTATGTGGACAAGTAAACAATTTTAGCTTTGGAAACACTGTATGCACCAGTCTTCGTGAACAGTTTTAAATATTGAAAAAAATTTGTAAAATATTGGGAGTTTAAGAATGTGGTTTCGAAGTTACTTCCATGAAATCCACTGACTAATACTTTTTAGTGGTTAATGTTATGTATTTAACTATTGAAAAACATATTCTATGTTTTGTTTATTTTTTTTGTTACAATTTCAAATCTTAACCCTCTTCAACAAACACCCTATATAATAGAAAGTAGAGTTTTATTCTTTAAAAGGAGTTGTGCAATCGCAAGCATTTTTATTTGAAAGCTACTTCCTATCAGCTTAACGTTTGTTTTGATATATCATATGGCTTTTGATACTTTCACAATCAAATGTATAGTTCCGTTAAAAATTACATTTAAATTGCAAATTGTTTACTTTATAAAAATGTCTCCTATATGGAGAAAAAACATTTTAAGCACTTGTTTTAAGTTTTCAACGGAAAGCGTTCTGTTAGAATTCTAGAATTCAACTAATTCAAGTATCATTGCTCTGAAATATTCAATTACAGTTGGGAATTGAATTTCAAATAAAACGTTTTATGCATTGTTAAAGTCAGTCCTTGGAATTAATTGCAGTACGTAGGCTGTCTTTTAAGTCTTGCGCCTAGACAACACTATGTATTGCCAGATGAATTTTGACATTTTTAACTAGAAAAGAATATATTGATCAACTTAGTTGGACATTTGGTGATAAAACACCACTTCCAATGACTGAAAAACGTTGGCTCGAGTTAGATAGCGTGGTTGTCGTTTTCGCCAAAAAACAGTGCAGTGCGAGAAGTGATTCAAATTACATACCGGAAGATAAAGACATCGTTTTCGCCACAAAACAGTGCAGTGCGAGAAGTGATTTAAATTACATACCGGTAGATAAAGGTATCCTTGAGCATTAGTGGGACCAATATACATTCAATAGTAAATAAACATTTAATCGTTTAAGAGAAGGCACGGTGCTTGGTGTAACGAAATGCTGATAAAATACGGCCTAGGTAGCTTAAAACACGTATATGTTACGTGACATGGTGACAGGCAATAAATCATATTATACGCTTATGAGCCCGAAAAAAACGCAATCCCGCGTTTGGGTTTACCACAGTAAGCAGAATTCAATAAAAGTTGTCTGCAGAAGGAGCAAATCCACGCAAATGGTAGCATGTTTTTTCAGATAAACTTGTGAGTAGAATCAACCGTCAAAAGAAGATCATCCCCTATCACGACAATGCGGGCTTCCAGACATCAGCTTCAACAAGAGTTTTTGAGCACCCAAAACGTCGAATTGATGGATCATCCGAATTCTTCTTGTTCTCATACATTTGACAAAAATGCGTGGCGAACATTT